TAGAGATTGTTCAGTGTGATGATCAGAGATTATTCATTGTGATTATCAGTGAGTGTTCAATGTGATGATTAGAGATTGTTCAGTGTGATGATTAGAGATTATTCAGTGTGATAATTGGAGTGTTCAGTGTGATGATTGGAGTGTTCAGAGTAATGACTAGATTGTTTAATATGATGATTAGAGTTTGTTCATTATGATGATTAGAGAGTGTTCAGTGTGATGTTTGGAGTGTTCAGAGTGGTGATTAGAGAGTGTTCAGTGTGATAATTAGAGTGTTCAGTGTGATGATCAGAGAGTGAACATTGTGATAATTAGAGTGTTCAGTGTGATGATCAGACAGACAGCGTCGTTACCAAACGTCTCCTACTGTGTTTTATGGTCTACACAGAAATCAACCCAGCACAGAACAAGAAGAGCATCAATGAGACAAAGTCTTACAGGAGTTCACTCTTCATTGAGGAGCCTCCACTTTAAAGACTTCTAATAAGACTGGTCTGGATTCTGTTCAGACCACAAGGTCGATGGAGACACTGTCAGACTTTCAGCTGTGAGTCAGTAAGTGTGTGTGTGTGTGTGTGTGTGTGTGTGTGTGTGTTTATGTGGTTGTCTGAACAGTGAAATATATTGGATACTAAAAACTGATCTTTGACTGCTCACTTACTGGTATAAGTTGCATTGGTGGAAGTTGAAGTATTACCCGCTGCAGTTGATGTAGAGTCTGAAAGAGAGAATAAGAACGTGGTAACTAAAATGTTCGACAAATAAGAATATTTGATGATTTATTATAACTATTTATTAAAGACATAGATTTAGTACATTAAGTATCATTTGATTTGAACATTTGAAATAATACAATTTCTAAAAAACAAACAATAAACTACTTTTTACACATTGCCTACAGCTGTCATAGTTATTGTCTAGTTTAGGTTAGTGTTAAAGCTTTTACACTCAACAGGTCTTTTACCCCCCAGACTTTAAGTCTGTTAGAGGTACAGAGACGTCTAGAATTACTGTCACTGTTAGTAAAACTGTAAAGTATTAAACACTAGGACACCTCACTGGGATGATTAGAGAGTGTTCAATGTGATGATCAGAGATTGTTCAGTCTGATGATTGGAGTGTTCAGGGTGATGATTAGAGAGTGTTCAGTGTGATGATTGGTGTGTTCAGAGTGATGATTAGAGAGTGTTGAGTGTGCTGATTGGAGTGTTCAGTGGGATGATCACAGATTGTTCAGTGTGATTATCAGTGAGTGTTCAATGTGATGATTAGAGATCGTTCAGTGTGACGATTAGAGATTATTCAGTGTGATAATTGGAGTGTTCAGTGTGATGATTGGAGTGTTCAGAGTAATGACTAGATCGTTTAATATGATGATTAGAGTTTGTTCATTATGATAATTAGAGAGTGTTCAGTGTGATGTTTGGAGTGTTCAGAGTGGTGATTAGAGAGTGTTCAGTCTGATGATTGGAGTGTTCAGCGTGATGATTAGATAGTGTTCAGTGTGATTATCAAAGAGTGTTCAATGTGACGATCAGAGATTGTTCAGTCTGATGATTGGAGTGTTCAGGGTGATGATTAGAGAGTGTTCAGTGTGATGATTGGTGTGTTCAGGGTGATAATTAGAGAGTGTTCAGTGTGATGATCGGAGTGTTCAGTGGGATGATCAGAGATTATTCAGTGTGATTATCAGTGAGTGTTCAATGTGATGATTAGAGATTGTTCAGTGTGATAATTAGTGAATGTTCAGTGTGATGATCAGACAGACAGCGTCGTTACCAAACGTCTCCTACTGTGTTTTATGGTCTACACAGAAATCAACCCAGCACAGAACAAGAAGAGCATCAATGAGACAAAGTCTTACAGGAGTTCACTCTTCATTGAGGAGCCTCCACTTTAAAGACTTCTAATAAGACTGGTCTGGATTCTGTTCAGACCACAAGGTCGATGGAGACACTGTCAGACTTTCAGCTGTGAGTCAGTAAGTGTGTGTGTGTGTGTGTGTTTATGTGGGTGTCTGAACAGTGAAATATATTGGATACTAAAAACTGATCTTTGACTGCTCACTTACTGGTATAAGTTGCATTGGTGGAAGTTGAAGTATTACCCGCTGCAGTTGATGTAGAGTCTGAAAGAGAGAATAAGAACGTGGTAACTTACATGTTCGACAAATAAGAATATTTGATGATTTATTATAACTATTTATTAAAGACATAGATTTAGTATATTAAGTATCATTTGATTTGAACATTTGAAATAATACAATTTCTACAAACAAACAATAAACTACTTTTTACACATTGCCTACAGCTGTCATAGTTATTGTCTAGTTTAGGTTAGTGTTAAAGCTTTTACACTCAACACGTCTTTTACCCCCCAGACTTTAAGTCTGTTAGAGGTACAGAGACGTCTAGAATTACTGTCACTGTTAGTAAAACTGTAAAGTATTAAACACTAGGACACCTCACCTGCCTCTGGATGTAAAAAGAAAACTGGGTGGTAAATAAACATTTTAATGGACCTACTTGCTTTGTCTGGTTAAAAAACAATCACCAAACTGCAATTTCCAAATATTTATAGTACACTGAACATTTTTGATATCCCAGCAAACATATCAGCAAAGCACAATATGACTTAATACATATAATAATAAATTAGCCAAAAAAAATCGTTTGCCCTCTCAGTAAAAGTACAAATAAAATATGTCTATATGCTTATGTATGTATTTGTGTGTGTGTGGGCACTGAGAACCTGCTGTCTGTCTGCATCACTGTAATGCTAGTTAAACACTGTGTCTCTGTCATCCTCTTTACTCCTTCTGGAGTTACATTTGGCTGAAATGCTTGATACCGTATAAAAGCAGGGAAACATCAGCTCCAGTGTGGCTGGCTGTGGTAAATAATGTGTTAAAGTGGTTATTAGCCTAGAGCAGCTCTAGCCCTGGAGCTAAGGAGTAAAAGTTCCGCTCTGGTGATGTAAGTGGAGCTTTAAGGTCATTTTGAGCTTTAAAAACTAGTAGCAGAGCTTTAAAATCTATCCTGAATGATACAGACAGCCAGTGCAGCTCTTTTTGTGTTGTTTTTGCTAGGATGCTGCTGCATTTTGTACGAGTTGTAAGGGATGGATTCTTACTTAGGAAGTTCAGTAGGAAGATTATTACAGTGATCAACTCTGCTGAAACAAAGGCACGAACAAGTTTCTCTTTGTTGCTCTGAGAGAGAAAAGTCTGAACTTTAGTGATTTTCTCACATGACGAGAAGCTACTTTAGTGACTGTCTTTACATGCGACATCCTCTCTTCAACAGCACACTGCACTGATTCTGCACTGATACTGCAGAAAAATGACTTTGAAAAATGTGTTTTCAGCTGCATTTTTGCTTGCAGTTTAGATGAAAAAACTGAACAGTGCAGGACTTACCACCAGCAGTGATTGCAGGAATCAGTAAGATCAGGACACAAAGAGCAGAACTGCAGGACTGCATGATTGACCTACAGACACACACACCATCAGTACTGACCAGGAGAGGAGAGAGAGAAGAGAGAAAGAGAGAACAGAACTGACCTACAGACACACACACACCATCAGTACTGACCAGGAGAGAAAGAAGAGAGAAAGAGAGAAATCATGCAAAAAAGTTAATAAATACTGAAAAAACAGCGACATCTAGTGGCCTGAACATCACCTGTCCTTCAGGTATTGCTGTCTGTATTATGAAGTAATCCTTCTTTTCGTTTCCTTATTTACTTGTTTATTCATTTATTTATATATTGTGCTGTGAAAAAGGTTCTTATTCCCATGTTTAGACTTTTCCTAATTAATTTTTCTTCCACTGAATACTGTCTCTATAGATTATTCATTATGGAACGTATGTATATGTTAGGCCTGTCACAGTTTTTACATAATTGCCTCATTGACTATTTGAATGGATAACAGTTATTTTCCTGTTGTTAGCTTGTTCCTGTAGGTAGCATTTAGCAAATCCTGCTTGCCTGGCTGGTTAACAAACTAATGACATCATTACTGTAGTCACTGTACAACATTAACCCTCACAAAGTCCACATTAGGCCACACAAAGCTTATTTTACACTGAAAAAGCAGTCAATCTAAAGTCTTTAAGAGCAACAGACAAATAAACGCTAATCATCCGGCAGATCAGCTAACGCCTCCACGTCTTATTCTTACTCGTTTCATGGCAAAATAGTATAAAAGCCAATTATACTGAAACATTTTTCTCTGTAGAGAAAATAACACAGTAAATGACTCTAGAGAACATCACACAGACTGTGGGTGTGTCTCCAAACCTAGTGAGCTCTCTACATAGACAGCATTTTACATCACAATATGTGCTCCTGACAAGACGGCTGTCCCAATTCATAGATATCTCAAATATGCTGCCTACTAAGGTCTCTTATTTTTGCCGAACATCGAGAGAGCATCGGATGTTTCCTCAGCCGCTGAGGCAATCCCGCGATCCCGCTTTACCAAGCAGCGACGTCATCTTCAAATGTAAGTTATTCTGGTTTTCTGTGGTATTTTATCTGTTTTCTAGTCATAAAGGAGCACCAATAGGTAGTTTGCAATTTAGGTCCATAACTGACCATTTCACAGTTTTTGAAACACCAATCCATTAGCATGCGTGCTAGTGGATTCTGAAACTTTAGGCTTGTTTTGAATAGCCAGTTAGCTAACTAACAAACTTGCTGGCTAATGACCAAGTAGCTTAACTAGCAACAGGTTTCGTCAAACAAACTAATGATGAGGCAGTGCGATCTAATCGTTGATCCGTTTACTCGTGTTTTGAATGATTTGGCAGAATAATGAGGGTTAAATGGTGCTTTTCTGTAAATTGCTAACGGTTAGATGGATAGCTATTTAGTTGTCCATGTCCACGTACACGATCGTTTCCCCTTTTTCAGGAACCAGATCAGCGCTTGAAGCCTTCATAAAGGCTCGTAGAGAGAGAGACGCTGTGTACCGAGGAGAAAAACTCTGCTTTGTCAGCCAGGAAGTGAGAAAGTCAGGGTGTTGGTTCACCAGTTAGATCAGGGGTTTTCAAATCTCACAAAGGCTGTAGCTGCAGGTTTTCATTGGAAACGCAGAAGCACCACTGATTCCCCTTCATCAGGAAAACAATTAATCATGAAAACCTGCAGCCACACTCTGCAGATATGACCAGACACCAGTGAGTTAGTCATGCATTCTCAGTTATGGTACAAAATATAACATTAGCTAATCATACCTTAAAATTAGTAGAAGTAATTTGGTTGTGTGGTTGAGAACTTTCTAATCTGGTTAGAATTTAAGGTGAATAATGATGGATATTTTAATCTCTTTACCTATTCTGTAAAAAAAAAGGAAAAAAAAAACAAATTTGATTTTGTTTGCTTGTTAATAGGACTATAATTTGGAATTGGGGCTACAGGAAAAGGTGGCACAACCTAAAAAAGAAATAGAAGGTAAGTTCCAAGACAGAGGTGAAGATTCACAGTAGATTAGTACTGTAATTAAAAACTCAAGAATTTCTCTTTTAAACCTTAGAGAGCATTTTAAACATAATTTAAATATTTTAAAATGCTTGAGTTTAATTCAGCGAGGCAAAAGAATCCATCATCATCATGTGTGTTGTCCTGAGTCCATTATCATCATTGTGTGTGTTGTCCTGAGTCCATCATCATCATACGGTATGTGTGGTTCTGAGTCCTTCATCATAATGGGTGTTGTCTTGAGTCCATCATCATAATCATGTGCGTTGTCCTGAGTACATCATATGTGTTGTCCTGACTCCATCATCATACATGTTGTCCTGACTCCATCATCATGTGTGTGTTGTCCTGAGTTCATCATCATCATATGTGTTGTTCTGAGTCCATCATCATCATATTTGTTGTCCTGAGTCCTTCATCATCATGTCTGTTGTCCTGAGTCCTTCATTATCATGTCTGTTGTCCTGAGTCCTTCATCATCATGTCTGTTGTCCTGAGTCCTTCATCATCATGTATGTTGTCCTGAATCCTTCATCATGTGTGTTGTCCTGAGTCCTTCATCATTATACATTGTGTGTTGTCCTCAGTCCTTCATCATAATGTGTTATCCTGAGTCATCATCATCATCATTTGTGTTGTTCTGAGTACATCATCATATGTGTTGTCCTGACTCCTTCATCATCATGTGTGTTGTCCTGAGTCCATCATCATCATGTGTGTTGTCCTGAGTCCATCATCATCATGTGTGCTGTCCTGAGGGCATCATCTTTATTGTGCGTGTTGTCCTGAGTCCATCATCATCATGTGTGCTGTCCTGAGGGCATCATCTTTATTGTGCGTGTTGTCCTGAGTCCATCATCATTGTGTGTGTTTTGTCCTGAGTCCATCATCATCATACAATATGTGTTGTTCTGAGTCCTTCATCATAATGGGTGTTGTCTTGAGTCCATCATCATCATCATGTGCGTTGTCCTGAGTACATCATCATATGTGTTGTCCTGACTCCTTCATCATCATGTGTGTTGTCCTGAGTCCTCCATCATCATAATGTGTTGTCCTGAGTCCATCATCATCATCATGTGTGTTGTCCTGAGTCCATTTTTATCATGTGTGTTGTCCTGAGTCCATCATCATTATGTGTGTTGTCCTGAGGGCATCATCTTCATTGTGCGTGCTGTCCTGAGTCCATCATCATCATTGTGTGTTGTCCTGAGTCCATCATCATCATCATGAGTCTTGTTCTGAGTCCATCATCATCATCATGTGTGTTGTTCTGAGTCCATCATCATCATCATAATGTGTTGTCCTGAGTCCATCATCTTCATTGTGCTTGTTGTCCTGAGTCCATCATCATCATTGTGTGTGTTGTCCTAAATACATCATCATACGGTATGTGTTGTTCTGAGTCCTTCATCATAATGGGTGTTGTTCTGAGTCCATCACTCATCATTGTGTGTGTTGTCCTGAGTACATCATCATATGTGTTGTCCTGAGTCCTTCATCATCATGTGTGTTGTCCTGAATCCTTCATCATGTGTGTTGTCCTCAGTCCTTCATCATTATACATTGTGTGTTGTCCTGAGTCCTTCATCATAATGTGTTATCCTGAGTCATCATCATCATCATGTGTGTTGTTCTGAGTCCACCATCATCATCATGTGTGTTGTCCTGAGTCCATCATCATCATGTGTGCTGTCCTGAGGGCATCATCTTTATTGTGCGTGTTGTCCTGAGTCCATCATCATTGTGCGTGTTGTCCTGAGTCCATCATCTTCATACAATATGTGTTGTTCTGAGTCCTTCATCATAATGAGTGTTGTCTTGAGTCCATCATCATCATCATGTGCGTTGTCCTGACTCCTTCATCATCATGTGTGTTGTGCTGAGTCCTCCATCATCATAATGTGATGTCCTGAGTCCATCATCATCATCATGTGTGTTGTCCTGAGTCCATTTTCATCATGTGTGTTGTCCTGAGTCCATCATCATCATGTGTGTTGTCCTGAGGGCATCATCTTCATTGTGCGTGTTGTCCTGAGTCCGTCATCATCATTGTGTGTTGTCCTGAGTCCATCATCATCATCATGAGTCTTGTTCTGAGTCCATCATCATCATCATGTGTGTTGTTCTGAGTCCTTCATCATCATCATAATGTGTTGTCCTGAGTCCATCATCTTCATTGTGCTTGTTGTCCTGAGTCCATCCTCATCATATGTGTTGTTCTGAGTCCATCATTATCATGTGTGTTGTCCTGAGTCCATCTTCATCATGTGTGTTGTCCTGAGTACATCATCATCATATGGTATGTGTTGTTCTGAGTCCTTCATCATAATGGGTGTTGTCCTGAGTCCATCATCATCATCATGTGCGTTGTCCTCAGTACATCATCATATGTTGTCCTGAGTCCTTCATCATAATGTGTGTTGTCCTGAGGGCATCATCTTCATCATGATTGTTGTCCTGAGTCCATCATGATCATTGTGTGTGTTGTCCTGAGTCCTTCATCATCATATATTGTGTGTTGTCCTTAGTCCTTCATCATAATGTATTATCCTGAGTCATCATCATCATCATTTGTGTTGTTCTGAGTCCACCATCATCATAATGGGTGTTGTCCTGAGTCCATCATCATCATGTGCGTTATCCTGAGTACATCATCATATGTGTTGCCCTGAGTCCTTCATCATCATGTGTGTTGTCCTGAGTCCTTCATCATCATATGTGTTGTTCTGAGTCCATCATCATCATCATGTGTGTTGTACTGAGGGCATCATCTTCATCATCATATGTGTTGTCCTGAGTCCTTCATCATCATATGAGTTGTCCTGAGGGCATCATCTTCATAACGTGTGTTGTCCTGAGTCCTTCATCATCATATGTGTTGTCCTGAGTCCTTCATCATCATTTGTGTTGTCCTGAGGGCATCATCTTCATCATGTGTTTTGTCCTGAATCCTTCATCTTCATGTGTGTTGTCCTGAGTCCATCATCATCATTGTGTGTGTTGTCCTGTCTCCATCATCATCATATGTGTTGTCCTGAGTCCTTCATCATCATATATTGTCCTGAGTCCATCATCATGTGTGTAGTCTATCGTCATTCATCATCATTCATCATCAACATCGTCATTTCTGTAGTTCTGAGTCCATCATCATCATCATGTGTACAGTATTGTGCCTGTCATCATCATATCTGTTTTCCTGAGTCTGCCATCATCGTATTTGTATTCCGTCGTCGTTCATCATCATCATCACCATCTTCATCGTTATCATCATGTGTATTGTCTTAAGGCTGTCTTCATTATCAATTATTTTTTCCCATGTCGTCATTATCTGTTATCCTCAATCCTTCATCATCATTGTGTTGTCCTGAGTCCCTTCTCTTCGTCATTATCACCATCAACATCATGTTTGTTGTCCTGTGCACGTCACGTTATCAAATGCGTTGTCCATCATAATAATCATCATCAGCATTGTGCATTGTTCATCGTCATCATGTTTGTTATCCATCATCATCATATGTGTTGTCTTGAGTCCGTCATCATCGTTGTGTGTGTTGTCCTGAGTCCATCATTGTGTGTATTGTCCATCATCATGGGTGTTGTCCCGAGTCCATCATCATTATCATATATGTTGTTCTTATTAATGTGAAATGTAAATGATTATTTGTATGAAGCCTCAAATTATCTGCTGTTCTTTCTATCTGCCTCATTGAATGATGGAATTCTAATAACACTATTTTGATGTGACATACAATACTTGCAATATTCGGTATGCTATTTCAATTCTACTACAACTACTATTAGTAATTGTAATTTGCTCCAAATGTTCTGACCACAATTATGCAATATTCTGACCACAACCTATACACTTCAAAAACAGTTTGGAATGCCATAGTCATGTTGCACTGGCTGTCAAGAAGAGAATCTGGCATGAATGGCCTGATAAGACAGAGACAAGACAGGATTTCATGCAGTTTTTCCCAATACTGAAATCATTCTTCACGGTATGTAATACTATTTTTTCAGCAGTATTTTTAAAATTCTGTTCTGATGTTTGTAAGTGGATAAATGAACAAAAATGTTTGGTAAATATAAACAAAGCCCAGGAATTTTTAACACAGAAAAACACGGATATAAATCCACATATTAACGTATTTAAAGTATGCATTTGTATGACAGAAAGAAGAATTTGAAGAAACATCATGGAAGTTTCTTCACCAGGTTGCTAACTTTGTAAAGTTATGCATATACTTCTGAAAAAAATACAATATTTAGTCTCATAATACAGTAATTTATTTCATTATGATGTGATTAGATCATTTTGCTAATCCATTTATAGTGATATTCAGTTGTCACAAAAATGCTTTCTTGAAATATATCCATATCTAAGGTGACTGAAGTTGTCTGGAATATGCATATGTAAAATATTCTGTAGGTTGTGTGAGAATGTTTTAGTTTGATATTCTGCTGTATTTTGTTTTAAATTTTAATTTCTATCATTTGTTATAACATTTTTTTCACTACCTCAAGTTCCAGTTTCTCTGCAGAGTAAGAAACTGAAGACAGGATGACCTCACTATGAGCTTCTGTGGAAGACAAACAAGATACAACATAATACAGGATCTACAAGCAGTTGGAAGGGTCTTAAATCCCCTGTAGGCAGAACAAAACAATTTCAAAATATGCAAACAGTGCAAGAAAATTATTTGATTGATAAAGTGAATTTAATACAGTTGTATATTGTACAGTTACATTTATAGGTTTTCAGAGTTTGGCCAGCTGAATGTTATTCCAATCTGTGCTTTTGAAAGATGTGATGATGAGAAAACTTTTCAGATATTAGTGCACAATCAACAAATCCATGCCACTAACTTGCTTAAAAGCCACACCAACAATGACTAGCACAAGCTGTCTAAATTAAACAAATTTATATTTGGATAATTTGTGTGTTGCTGATGATTGAACATTTATTTGTGGTTCTAATTAGTTAAACTACAATTTAAATTACAGATGACTTTTTCAGCATTCTTAAACCAGGGTTCTCTCTCATCATGCAACATTCCTTCTTACCCAGCTAAATTTAAGCTTGATCTAACCCTGGTGACAGGGGCTTTATAAATTTATAAGGTATAAATACTTTACTTTCTACATATTTAGATAGTATGATTTTATTTTTCTTCTTTGGCGACTCCTTCTTTTTTCACTGTTTGGCTGTTCATCATAAATGTCACGCTTTCATGTGCATGTCCAAGTATCTAAACTTGGATTAATCAAAAAAAGTCACCAAAGCTTGTAAAAATAAGCAGCAACATGGAAAATAAAGTACTTGAATGATGCTACAGTGTGTCTTAATTAAACCTGTCAACAAATTTGTGATCTGATGTACGTTTTTATTCTGTTTTTAAGGAGAAAATCAACATCAAAATCAATTAATTAATTATTGAACAACCCAATAAAATATAGCATTATTGGAAAAAGCAACTAGTTTAGTAAATCCTCAACAAAAGAGAGGCAAAGATCTGTTTCAAATGGGCCAAAATTATGCATTTCTAAGGTGAGGTCAGAATCCATGCTGAGCGCATGCAAGTTTCTCCTCATCGTCTGTGTGATTTTCCTGGAAAGAAAAAGAAAATACAAAGCATAGGATTTTTAGCAGTCTGCTGGAGTTGAAAAACATATTGAGGTACATCGATAATATGGTGTTAATTTTATAGTGTTGTAGCTCAATGCAGATTTTAAAAGGTAGCAAACAAAAATTTCTTGTTGAGCCCATATCCCAATACATGACAAAATATCATTTTCAAGTAAATCAACTTACTTCATGACTTTTGCATCATCATGAGGCCTGGGTCTTTGTCTTCCTGGGTTGTGCAAGTGCCTCCCAGGGAAAGACCCACTCCCCAACATGTTAAAAAACAAAATAATTTTGTAAATAAGTAGTCAACTTCAGAGATATAAAACCACCACTCTTTTTCATTATGTCAGTAAATATACTATATTGTATCGTTTTATTCAAACCATAAAGAATTACACATCCTGATCCTCTGAATCTGTTTGACCTTTTAAGCTCCAACCACCGGTGGTTCCAAAACGCACTTCGTCATATTCTTCATAACTTTCATATTTCATAAGCTACATTCTAAAGGTGGGGGTCGTATGAGGCTGTAACTGTCTTCTTTCCAGTCAAATAGATGGGTGATGTAATTGTAAACCCTCATAATAAAAGAAGCTGAACTCACAATTTTTTACTGAAAGTTGACCCATTTTTCCACAAATCTGGGTTATAAACTATAAACAGATGGCATCTCTTCAGTGATCTGCTCTGTAAAAATTGGCTTTCAGCAGTAAATTGTAAGCATATGGCAATATGTGTGATCATAAAACACATTTTCTGTTAATTTGAGGGAAGCTTGTACAAAAAATAAATAGAATAAAAATTTGCATTTATTTCATGCAGTTAGTGAATTATTGTACTGAGGGCATCATCTTCATCATGTGGGTTGTCTTGAGTCCTTCATCATCATGTGTGTTTTCCTGAGGGCATCATCTTCATGATCATGATGATGATGGACTCAGAACAACACATATGATGATGAAGGACTCAGGACAAAACATATGATGAAGATGATGCCCTCAGTACAACATACATGATGATGATGGACTCAGGACAACACACATACGATGATGATGAACTCAGGACAACACACATGATGAAGATGATGCCCTCAGGACAACACATATGATGATGAAGGACTCAAGACAACACATATGATGGTGATGAAGGACTCAGGACAACACCCATGATGATGAAGGACTCAGAACAACACACATGATGAAGATCGTGTCTTCAAGACAACATACATGATGACGATGATGCCCTCAGGACAACACACATGATGAAGATGATGCCTTTAGGACAACACATATGATGACAAAGACATTCATTTCAATGTCTAAACATGTTGGTGAAAACATGCTATTATAGCCTAATTATTTCAGTTTAGCTTATTACTCACTTCATAAAAAAAATATAATAATAAAAATACTATTTCTTGCCATTTTGAGCTCACAAAGGACCAAATGAGAAAATAATGTTTTTGTTGTGATGGAAAAAACTCTCAAAACTTAACTCTACATTAAAATAGATACTTTCACAAATTCACATATAATGTACAAATTTACAGATAATATCGTGTTGCTACGCGTTTGTGGAGCATGTTAACTTTTGTTCTAAGTAGCTAACATTTGATAACTTTCATTGTAAGACAGGCTAACTCCTCAGCTAGCTGGCTAGCTAACATTTGCTATCTTTCGTGGTAAAAGTTGTACAAAAATAACAAAACCTACACATATGTGTGCCTAACTACCAGTTTAGCAGAAGAAAATAACAGGAGTCTGATAGAAGTGTACCTACCTTAACATGAGACACTTCAGCAGGTCAGCTCTGCTTGCAGCTCCTGATTTAGCTCTGCTCCTTCCTTTACATTTCTTTTGAAAAGAAAACAGGCTCACACTGATGATGTCACAGATGCTAAGAGATTTTGATTGGCTGATGTGTTTTGTTGGCCTGAGGGCTTCATCACAGTTGTTGCCCTCAGGACAGCTGCAACTTGGTAAAATCAGGAGTTGCCAGCAAGTAGTGCTTGATTTTTTTCATTTCCGCGTTTGACCACAACTACTGTCTATTTTGCTGTTTCATTCAGAGAAAGTACAGTTAAATCGCTGTATAAACCGCCAGAGCAGATCCATGTTGGCTAACTCTGACGGCTGAGGTAAGTAAATGCCGGTGTCGTGCAGTGGGCGAGGACAAGCGGTGACGTCACTGCTGTCTAACTAGAGCGTCTCATTTATCTGTCTTATGAGGACAGCTGCCTATGTAGACAGCGGCTACTTAGAGAGCTCACAGGGTTTCGGGACACACCCTGTGTTACAAACAGTTCTCAGTTTTATATAAAGCAAACAATAATAACAGTGAGGTATTAGATCATGAGTAGAGCAGCGTTAGTGGAGTAACAGTAGGTGACTTAATTCTGTACTGAGAGCTCAGAGCTCTTCATAGAGGACATGTTTATTAATAAACCCTCATTATTATTATAATAATGATGATAACTAGGGTGTATTAGAGAGTCAGTAGATCAGTGTTCTCTTCATAGCGGTCATGTATAAATAACGGTCCTGATCGGGATCTGTACAGTAAACAAAGCGCTGTATATGTACCATAAACAGAGTTTACCTGCTTTAAAATCAGCGCTAGTGCTGAGTATCAGTGCCTGCAGGTCACTCACCCTGTAGGAGACTGAAGACTGAGATTCACTGAGATTTTATCCTTTATTTCTGTCCGCCTCGCCCCGCATGAGAGTTACTTTCGATTTCACTTCAGTGACGCACAGAGTGACGCACAGCTGGGCGGATCCTTTACAGCTGAAACCCTCACATTTAATATGTAATAAAGCGCCCTGTTTGAGCCGAACTCGGGTGTCTGAGTCCTGAAAGTGAGTGAGTCTGAAGGGGAAGGTTAAAAACGCTCTTATAGCCGGAGCTGAAGCGCCTGATTCATCAGTCTGTTTTTTCCGCTCCACCTTAAAAGGCTATTTAAGGTGGCAGGGAAACTGGAGCCGGAAGCTGGAGAACACTGAGTGAACAGCGCTGTAATGTAAGCAGTAACATCACCAGGGACGCGGGACGTATTTAAAGCTGGGGGTGCTGGAATTTAAGTAGTATGTGCGTTACGTGGATGGTGACGTCATGCGAATGATTTGCCTTTTTCATTTGATTTTTTTTTATAATTTACATCAAACACAGCGTGTGGAGAGAGAAGAGCCGCATACCAGACACATTACACCGCGGATCCACACCCCGACCTCTCTGCTCTCTCCTACAGGACGGACTGCAGCAGCTGAGCTGAGCGACGTCCAATCAGAGCGCCCGCACACTCGAACACAAAAGTCCTACAGCTCTGCACTCACCCTCCCTCTGTGCCCCTCAGCCTGTTTCAGTGACGACCCCCAAAGCGGCCAGCAGGGGGCGCGGAGGCGCTTCAGCTCGCTTTAATGTTTCAAACTTTTTTCACTGGCCCTAAGAATGGATCACCATTTCTTAATGTTTTCATTCATTCATTCATTTATTTATTACTTCCTTAACTATAGCATGTGTTGTATGCATGTATATTTTAATATCATTGGACTATGTGTACTAAAAATATACATTATTATTATTATTACTATTATTATTGTTGTTGTTGTTGTTGTTGTTATGTATTTTTAAATGACAAATTTATGTATAAATAAAAATCTTGACTTATTATTTTTTAGCTATTTTTATTGACATTTTGACTCATATGAAAATATTTATGTACTATATTAAAACGGTTGCTTTCTCAAAATCTTGGCTCAGTTTAGCTCATTGGTTCGATGTTGTATGTTGCATTATTTCAGCATAATAAGTCAGTAAATAAATAAATGAAATAAACTTCAAGCTGTGACTTAAAGCATTTCCACTTAGTGGTGTTTATTAATTAAACAGGCCATAATCAGATACAGAGTCTGAACTCCAAATATGTCCGGATGACTTGTTTTAATGATGTCTGGACGGTGAGGAGCTCCTGTGCATTTTCAGCCTCAGACTCTGAGTCTCATCTCAGACAGCAGAGCTGCAGTGAGGATGTAAACGAACCTGCATGTTCTGTAATGTTAGACTCTGAATCAGACTCTGAATCGGACACTGAAAGATCCCTGAAGAGCACATTAACCATCTGGACGGAACCGGTTCATGGAAGACACCAACACGGAGCTTCAGCCTGTCGGTGCTGGACCACCAGCTGAGCAGCCCTGGATCACCAGCTGAACAGCCCTGGACCACCAGCTGAACAGCCCTGGACCACCAGCTGAACAGCCCTGCGGTACGTCAGCGCTATTTTACTCATCTTTATGAGGGGATGTTCATTTTACCCTCTTTCCTTTCGAGCTGAGAGTGACAACATAAAGCTCTCTCAGTGTAAAGGACGAGGCTGAAGCTGAAAAATCAGATTCACCGGCTTCTGATTTTAATTTTCCGGTCCACCTTAAATAGCGCAGCAGCTCCATTCAGGCGCCGAGGCTGCCCGCCAGCATCAGAATGGAACGGCTGCACTATTTAAGGTGGACCGTGGAATTCGGAGAAGCTAATTTCAGCTTCGTGTAGAAAGATTAAAAGGGGGCTGAGTTTCATATTTTAGACTCTATATAACTAAATAAACTCTCCACAGGTTATAATGACTCTTCAGTCAGGAAAAACACAGTTAACAGACGATATTTTCTTTACTGTTAGGAAACGTTAGCTTAGCTCTGAATGCTAAACGCAGCGCCGAGTTGGTGTGAGGAACGGTAGCGAAGATAGTTAGCCTTAGCTAACGCTAACTATAGTAACAAACCGTTAGCAGGTTGCTAAATAATAACAGTAATAATGATCAATAATATCAGTAAAAGAGCTTATTTTACTTACCGTTCGTGTAAGTTTAAGATGAATTAGCTAACTTTAGTTAGTCTCTCCTCTCCAGAAATAATGTTAGCTAGAAAAGGTAACATTACCAGTGTTTTTTCAGTCCAGCGCTGAACATTTTACGTCAAATTTAACACAAAACAAAACACAAACTGTGGAAAATAGTGCTGGGTCAAACTATCACTGTGTGAAAGTCCCGATTATAAGCGTTAAAAATGAAGCTTATTGATAAATCACTTTGAGTAATTGAAATGGTATGAATGTGGAAGAGCTGCTGTTGACCGTTAAATCCGTTGGTTCACGAGCCCTTTCAGTTAAAGGGGAGCTCCGCCGATTTTTTTAGAATTTCTACATAATTCAGTGGATAAAATGTAAACAGAGTCGTTCAGAGTGGTTTGGTGTGAAACGCTCAGCTCTAGAGAAACTTACCGAATCAGAACTGTTCACAGTGGTGGTGATAGGAACCAGACGTCCACCTCTAAAAGCTCCCTCACTGAAAGTTACTGTATGAAATGGTTATGAATTCACTGCCTGATGACTGATGCATTATTTCATGAGTTTCGCCCTAAAATGTATTTTAATCTATTTTTTTTAATCCATTCATGGTGGAGGGATACATGCAGGGCGCTGTGAGGCAAAATAGTCCCCAAAGAAAACTTATTATTTCAGATGTTCCACTATTTTCCATCATTAACATTCCATATAAACTCAGAAGACTCCTGTAGGTTCACTGGTGGTTCTGGATAGTAAATAAAATGTCTATATTTGTGTTGTAGTCATGGCGACCCCTGGTTCCTATCACCACCACTGTAAAGACATCTGAACCATTTCACACCAAACCACTCTGAATCACTCTGTTTACATCTCAAACACTCAATTATGGGGGAATTCTGAAAATTGGTGGAGTACCCTTTTTAGCTGAATATGCCTCATGCTCACTTATAAAGAGTTTAAAAGAAAAGACAGGAATAAGCTCTGTTTTGCTTGTTCAGGTGAGCAAACTAAACACATCTTAAAAAAATGAAATACAAACAAATTAATGTTTTTTTTTATTATTTGGTTTTTTTTTTGATAATTGTCCATAATATTGTCTCCAGGGTTGCCAGGTTGCTTTTATAGTTTCAGCCAAAAAATGTTCAAAACCCACTAAAATGTATGAAAAGCCACTCAGAAAGTGCACATAAAAATAGGTCAAGGTTAAAAAGGTCATTTCAATCCTAATATGACATCATGCAGTATTTAACCAACATTATGTCAACAATATTCTGAGTCCGTTATCTGCTGACGCCTCATCTTCAAAAATATGCAGATCAGTATTTAAGTTGTCACTAGATGGCGCTGTGGGTCTTTAACAAATGTGCTTATTTTATTATTGCTATGAAGAACCAAAAGCTTTTTACATAACTTTCACTATCGCTGTCAAACAGCTAAGAAACAACTGGACAAAGAAACTATAAATAATTAAAATCAATCAATTAAATTACTTGATTTGTGTGTGTATCTTATTATTAATGTATATGTGAATGTATATAAACATTTTTAATGCATTGTTTGTGATAGGACCCATGATGCCATGCAGTCAGAAAGTCAGGTGAACAGCAATGACATTCTAACTAGGCCTATTCTTCCTACACTATTTAGATGGTTGTTTATCTTTGCAGGCTCTGCTGAACTGATCACAGGACGTTCCAGTTTCTGCTACAGCAGAGCTGTAGTAAAGGCCCATTTACGCTTCTGTGATGAATCAACGCAGACTCTACACCACAGTCTACATAAGAGGTCTACGCCGTTATGAGCATATGTCTGTGTCTGCAGTTACACCAATTCTGTTTCTCATCTTTCTCTCACTTTGACACTAGCCAATCAGATTGGTGCTCTCAGATCTGAGTCTTTATTATCTAAACAGATGTTTTTAAGCATCTGTTCACTGGAGCTGAGTCTGCACTGTGATGGGAGCTTCGTTTTAGCTTAGACTTGCAGAGCGTAGGGTGCAGTGTAGGGTACAGTGTAGGATACGGCGAAAGGCACGCAGCTAGGTGGTACCTACACTGTACCCATGCCGTAGATTCGACGCAGACGCATTAATTGACCTAAATGCAGAGTGAACTGGATCATCCAGTCCATGTTAGGCTTGAACACATATCCATAAACTGGGCAAGTTAACTAAAATGTATGTCATTTTTACGCACTGCTGTTTTTCTTTAAAAACTATTTTTCATTCTATGATTTTGTACATAAAGCTGCACTATGTAAGATTTATTATTAAAGTGGAAAGAAGTGTCATTATTGAGAGAGGAGAATAAAAAAAGGCCAAAATATGATGAGCGTGAGCTGCTGTGAGTCGCCCTGTAAAGCCTGAAATAATCACTTAAAAGTCAGAGGCGGCGAGTTTTTCACATTGTCATTACGTATTAACGTCACACAAACAGAAAGAAGGTCCGGCTCGATGTTTCGGCCTCAAATGATCTCAGAATCAACATCACACTGATGAAGATGTGATGACAATAGTAGATATTTCACTCACATCCTCAGAAGACGCTCCTTCACCAAGTTTAGACTGAGTTCTTTTTGAATTCTCTTTTAATAATCAGATTCACCCGCTCAGGGAAGGGGGCCAAAGCACAACCCACATTACAAAATGTTCTTCCACACATTGGGGGTGCAGTTACACGTTTCCACCAGAGAGGTCTCAAAATCTCCAAACCTTACATAGTGCAGCTTTAATAAATAAAACCAAATAAGGCCATACAGTGACATTTATGTGAGGCACCACTCTCGTACCCCTGATGCTTTACTACATGTGGTCACTTGCCCACTTTTTATAAAAAAAAGTCACATAAATGTCTCACTTTATTGGCTGTGATCTAAACGTTACTGTATTTCCAGGCAATGTATCATCTTCTGTTCACACATGAGCCTCCTGCTAATTTTTCAGGTAACATACAGGATTTCATGCTATTGTAAATACTATTATAATTATATTAATTACATTATGATCATAAAACAATAGATCATAAAACATGCATTTTATAAAATCTCTCTCTCTCTCTCTCTCTCTCTCTCTCTCTCTATATATATATATATATATATATATATGTGTGTGTGTGTGTGTGTGTGTTTGTGGGTGGATAAAATCAAGATTACATAGATATAAATTATAATGTTTTGATTGTAGTTTTGTATTATGCCTTATCTTTCTATCACATTCCTTTATTCTAATATTTAGTTTCTTCATCCTTGATGTTGTGTTTCATAAAATGATCATGAAAACTCACTACATGCATTTGGCTCTTTTAAACTTGTATTTTATGATATTAAAAAGTGTTATGTAGAATAACATATTTTTTTCTCTTTTATACTCTTGATTTGACTGATATAAACAGTGTTTCCAGAATCCTGTTTCTGTTTACATTAAATTGTCCTGCATTGTATTTTTTAGGTTCTCAAACATGTTTGTGCAGAACATCTTGTTTATTTTTGAATGTAAAGATAACTGCTTTTCATGTGAATTTAGATCATTCAAGCAGAAAACTACAATAGTAGCACTTCTTTCTAATAGAGAAGACACTTCTTAAGGGGGAATTCGATCATTTTTCTAACCCCGCCATAATTCAGTGTGTGAGATGTAAACAGAGCGTTTCAGAGTGGTTTGGTGTGAAATGGTTCAGATGTCTTTACAGTGGTGGTGATAGGAACCAGGGGTCACCATGACTACAACACAAATATAGACATTTTATTTACTATCCAGAACCACCAGTGAACCTACACGAGTCTTCTGAGTTTATATGGAATTCTGGAGACAAAGTTTATGCTCTGATCTTTAAAAGACGGCGGTGGGACGGACGTCCAGCTTATGTGTCTCAGAACACGACGTCTTCCTCTCGGCCGTCTTTAATAAGAACATGTGAAGGACGTTTTCCTGAGTCTGACATCATTTTTTTTTTTTTGTGATCAAGAATTTTTATTTCGCAAAACAACAAACAACAAGGGGATGGGGGCAACAGACAGCCAAAAAAAAAAACACAAACAAAAAAAACAAACAAACAAACAAAAAAAAATGCAAGAGACATGGATAGCAAAAATGAACATAGGTACAACATCACAAAATTAAATAAGGAACAAAGTGTCCATATTCAACATATACCTTGCAGGAAATCCAAAATACGTACATTTTAAATCTTCTATACGGTGTCAGGTATGCTCTATGAATAAACTTGAAATGAATAAGTTGATGTGCAAAATTTTTGGATAGTCTGACATCATTTTAAAGGAATTAAAAACACAAGCACTGCTCACTGCTGCTCATCTCACTCTGACTGCACCTCACGTGATGTTCGCTGTCTAAGTGGTTCTCCACGCATGCGCGTCATTTTGCATTGGATTACTTGTAGCGAGCACGTAAAAGAAGACTTTCCATCAAATTGTTGAATAGAGTGAGCATATAAACACCTCAGTCTTAATCAGTAATCGGAATGTATTCAATCGCATTCTTTGCACAGCCAATGATACGTGAGAATAACTACTGCCATGTACACATCCTGTGTTTGGGTGGTAATGATCTCTCCACTTCTGGGTTAACGTTTAGTTTCTCCTCCTCAGTGGAATCACTGCGTTCATTAGTTTCCACTCTGTTCTTTGTGTCCTTCATGCGGAGCTGATGATTTTCTCCCTTCAGCCTCACATTCACCATCACTAATACCACTAATACCACAGTCACAGTTAGAAACCCAGTCCCCATCACAGCCAGCACTATAATCACCCACACTGGTGCAGCAGGTCCTCTATCTCTGTCCAGATCTGATGAGTGATCTGCAAAAAAAAGACAGATTTGTAACATAGGGGAATTAAACTAAATGCCACCATTCATATCCACAGCTGCAGCTTCCTTTTCTTTCACACCACCAGAGGCAAACATGATACACCTAGGACAACCATAAGATACTGCAAATGAGCAGAAAATTCTGCTGGGTGGTCAACTTTTTTATTTTGTTAGTTTGTACTTCTGGTTATAATACACATTCAGAATATTAAATCATTTTAAAAACTGGATTTGTTCTCCTGTAATCTGCCATCTTAAAGTAATAACTTTAGCCCCGCCTCTAAAACAATTTTCCAATTTTTAATGGTGTCATCATGCAAAAATCCAAAAATATAGACTCTACTAACCCTGGAGTGACCAACAGATACTATGGGAAGCAATTATAATGCAGCAATAATCCACATTTTACACAGAGCTCTCATGCACTACGGCTTTGATTCTGACAGACTGCAGTTAGCTTACACTGCATGCCACAACTGCATCTCTGTTGCAATGTTAAAAAAGGCTTTAAGTTTATCCAAAAATAAATAAATAAACTGTTTCAGGACACCTGCGACCCAGAAGGAGAAGCGGTTTAGAAGAAGAAGATGTTATGGGACAGCGAGGAGGCGGACCCAAGTGCAGAGAGGAAAACCGGTGAGAAAGTGTCTTGAATGAATTCATGAGGTGGTGGAGTGTGAATGGAGTGATTCTGCATGTTCGGGTTGAGGTGGCTCAGAGCGAGGCTCAAACCGCCAATGTGCTGAATGGCTGCTGTGCCACCGGGAAGCACAGACGAAAACGGGGGAAAAACTCTCAACGAATGGGAATGAAAAAATGGTGGGAAAGGGCAGACAAAGGGGACGCTGAAAGCAGCTCAAACACAGGCTGAGATAGAAAAGTGAAATAAAAGATAATCAGAAAACAAAAGACACTTCCTCTGTTGTTATGAGAGGAAGATCAGCTTCATGCTTCACCTGTTTGCTCTTTGTGGAACAAACACGTTGTTTTAGCCTTCTTTTTGTCTTTTATGTAATTTTGGGGCAATTTATTCCTTTGAGCCCTATTTTTCTTCTTTCTGTTGTTTTGGGGCAATTTCTCTTTTTTCCAGCCCTCTTATCTTTTCTTTTTCCTTTCTTTTTCTTTTTTTTTTTTTATCTAAATACGCACCTGGGCTAAGTACCGTACTGGTCACCCCTCCTCTGGGAATTCCCTGAACTTATGGTGCCTGCAGATGGTCAATGACATGACCAGTGGACCCGACCCATGCATGAGAACAAACCAGTATGGAACCACCACCAGCCTGCACAGTGAAACAATTGGTACCCTGACTCATCGGACCACACCACATGTTGACAGTCCTCTAGGGTCCAGTTAGCAACCTCACGAGCCCAGGTGAGGCGCTGTGTCTGGTGTTGTTGGTGTTAACAGACACTCTGGTGGGTCTTCTGCTCTTATATCCCATTAAAGCTAAAGAACGCTGCACTGACCTGCAGGATATGTGTGTGGGGCCTCCTGCAATGAATGTAGATGTGAATTCTGCCACGGTTGCTGTCTTTAAGCACCCGTGGGTGGCCACTGTGCTGTCCACTATGGGTGGCAATGCCTTCTATGATTTATAAGCGGTACACACGTGACTCTGTGGATTGAGGAATGTTAAATGCCCGCACAACTTCAGAAGTGGAATGCTTCATCCGTGTGGCACCCACTGTCAGTCCTTGTTCAAACTCTGATAATTCACATCACCTTGCTATGACCACGCTGACCAGTGTTCAACATCACCCACAAGATAACACCTCTCAACTTATTCAGGTGTGGTGGTTCCCAAGCCATCCCCTGAGGCAACTGTAAGGGCTGGCTCCAGTGCTGCGGTGCTCCCGGCCACCAGAGGGAGACAACGTGCTCCTCCCAAGTCAAATCAAGTCCAACATACTACACCTGGGCAGAGGCTTCATAAGCGCATTCAAGTCTCTTTCAGTTACTAATTTCTCTCTCGATGTCTGAGAAAGCCAGTTTTCCCCTGGCGTCCTTTGTTCTGTTTTCCCGCCTGACAGAAACGGGTGGGTTTATAATTCAGATTGCTTTTCCTACCCATTTTCAGGCAATTCCATATAAAGGCACTCCTTTCCGCAGTTTTCACAACGGCTTCAGTGGTGGGCCCGGGTTTGATCCCCGGACTCACCATGTGCTAAAGTTCTTTAGTTTAGGTCATCCTTCCGTTGTACATAAGTTTGGCACTTGGATCCCTAAAACCTGTTGTGGTTCACCTGGTAGGCCCTGGGATATAACTCAGACAGCCTGGGTTCACATCCTCTGTCTATTGAGCCATGCCTCGTTACAGTAACTCCACTTCATAATCAATTTACATACTGCTATTCCATGACTTGTAAGTGTAAAGACCTACCATGGCAAGCACATGCTATCCTGTTATATACATGCTGTTATCACTCTCCCTCTCTTCACTGTTTACGTCTGACCTTTTCATTATGTAAAGAAAAGGAAAGCAGTATGTGTTTAACTCTGAATAAACTCATACCTTGGATGGTCACTGTGTAGATGTGAATGACCTCTTCATTCCTGGTGTCCATTACTGTATAAACTCCACTGTCAGATGGAGTCATTCCTCTCAGTGTAAGTGCAGCTGTTAGTGATACTCTGTGTTTATATTCAGGTTTACACTGTGTTGAGTGTCCATCCACTGTACAGATCTGACCACTGGATGGTCCAGCTGAATCTGTGGTGTTATAAATCACCTTCACTGGATCTGTTATGTGTAAATCCAGGACCAGAGACTCACTGGGTTTTACCTGAATTGGAGTTTTCAAGGCTGAAAAGAAGAACAATCAGGAAGTTCTTTAATTATGTCAAAATCTGATTCATTGCACCTAAATCACTGGGGTACTGTCCATAATGGCCACTCAAGAAAGCAGGTGGACACTTACGCTCAATCTGAAGGCGCACATCACGGAGATCTTTACCATCACACTCACACGTGTACCAGCCTCTCTTACTGAAATCAGCATCAGTGATGGTGAGAGAGAGATTCCCCTTCAGGTACTGATCATGGATCATCTGATATCCCTCCTTTGATCTACATTCAGTCTGATCACACTCAGCCAGAACATCAGTGGGTTTATGAGATACAGACCATCTGACCAAACCAGAGCATCTCTCAGAGCAGGGCAGAGTAGCAGAGTCATGACGATTCATCTTCACTGGAGGAAAAGGTGAATCGTCTGCTATAAGAGATGAAAATGATAATCATTAATGAAGTTTTAACTTTTTAGTACTTTTAACTGTTTTTGGTACGCATAAAATAACAGTACAGTCTGCATTGGACAGGTGCTGGCTGGGTGCTAGCAATGTTTTAATGTTTCTGTTCTTGTGGTGCAACCCCAATGTAATGTTCCTAAATCAGTTAGAATGAAATGCACTTTTTTAACTTTTCTCCGTACTCTATCTAGACCTCATATAATAAAATATTAGGTTGTAATAAATAGTGAATAATAAATAAGGTTGTAATAAAATAAAATTAAGTAATAGTCTTTAGCTGATTTTTTACAAATATTTTTAATTAGTTACATATTACTCAAAATAAATTTCAACCACAGGGTCTCAGAGGTTATTTTTGCACTCATCAGATCTTCAAAATCCTTGGATCTCAGCAGCATAATCGCAAAGCTCCGGCTAATGCTGAAGTTTCTCTACGTGAGCACCACTCCTCTCCCATTTACGTGTCCAACAGCTTTGCCTCACTCAGTGAGACACCCCCTGAGATGCCTGTTGACTTCATTAAGATTGATGCACCTTCCTCCCTATCCACTCACTCCCTCTCAATCCTCTCCTCTGCTTTCTGATGTCACTGTTTCTTTCTCTCTCTCTCTCTCGTTACTTGCCATCCTGCTTGATGCAGTTGCCTTCCAGGTTTCCCTATCACCTGCTAAGCTCAATTGCATATCCCTTGCCCTGTCCAATTTTGTTGTTTGCCCCCCTTGCCCGAAGCTTCAGCTCCTCTCCCTCCTTGGACACCTCAACTAAGCCATTCGCTTCATACCACAAAGATGCTATTTCATCTCCCAACTCCTCAGCCTCACCTCCTCGGTTCCTTCAGGCCATCCAAAAAAAATTAACCTCACCTTCCACTTCAGCAGCTGCCGTTAATATCTGACATCTTGTACTACTGTACGCAGACTCTCCACCCTAGAATCTTCTCAAGGGCCATCTCCACCACATTAGAAGCCCTCTTTCTCCTCGCATTCTATGGCTTTCTGAGATATTCAGAATACGCAGCTCCATCAGACACCTTCAACCCAACTTTCCACCCCCTCCTGTCTGACCTAACTGTACTCAACTCAGAGACACTGATCTTTACTATCAAGCTAAGCAAAACAAACTAATTTGGCAAGAGCACCCCTCTCTACTTACTCTCTAACTAAATTCCTCTCTGTCCATACAAACCTCTGGTGCACCTACTCTAACTCAGGCTCTTTCAAAATGGCCAACAATCCAAACCACTCCTTATCGCAGAAGCCGGCTCCATCATCACCCATTGCTGGTTTCACAACCACTTGCTCCAAGTTTTCTCATTAACCAGTTATCCTCTAGAATGGTTTTCGTCTCATTTCTTTAGAATCGGCACAGCATCTTTGGCTACCGCGCTCAAAATAATATTAAAAGGTTTATAGTCCCGAAAGATATCTGAAATTTAATATGCTCTGGCCCCATCCTAGTTTGCCATGGTGACAAAGTCTACAGCAAGTTATGGTCCCAAAGTGCTGATTGTGCAAGTATTGCTCAATAATAAAGATAATAATTAAAAAAGTGGGCTTTGTAAAACATTGGTGTACTTTTCAGGGTGAACAAAATTTCAGAAAACCTTGGAAAGTTTGTTCTAACATAATGTCAGCCTATTTCAACTAATTTGTAATTGGTGCATGTCACCCATACCATGTGCACTAATGCCCCCTATACCATCATGAATACTGGGTTTTGAACTGTGCACTGATAACAAGTTGAGTGGTCTTTAGCCCGGAGGACACAGTGTCCATGATTTCCAAAAAGAATTTCAAATGTTGATTCGTCGGACCACAGGGCACTTTTCCACTTCCCCTCAGTCCATTTTAAATGAGCTCGGGCCCAGAGAAGGCAGCAGCATTTCTGAATCCTGTTTATATATTGTTTCTGCTTTGTGTTTGAGTTTTAACTTGCATTTGTGGATGCAGTGACAAACTAATTTCACAGACAGTGGTTTTCAGAAGTGTTTCTGAGCCCATGCAGTGATTTCCTCCACAGAATCATGTCTGTTTTTAATGCAGTGCTGCCTGAGGGCCCAAAGATCACAGCCAGCCAATATTAGTTTTCAGCCTTATCCCTTGCATGCAGAGATTTCACCAGATTCTCTGAATCTTTTAATGATGATATTATGTACTGTAGATGATGAAAAGATAAAGTTCTTTGTTATTTTACATTGAGAAGTTATTTTTGAATTGTTGCACTATTTTATCACACAGTCTTTCAGAGTGGTGAACCCCTCCTCATCTTTACTTCTGAAAGACTCAGCCTCTCTGGGATGCTCTTTCTGTACTTAGTCATGACTTGTTGCCAATTAACCACAAGGTGTTTTTTTAGCATTACACAACTTTACCACAACTTTACCTTTTTGTTCCCCCATCCCAACTTTTTTGAACCATGTTGTTGGCATCAAGTTCAAAACATGCATATATTTAAATACAAATTTCTTAGTTTCAACATTTGATATGTTGTTTTTGTTCTATTTTCAATGAAATATAGGGTTCAAATGATTTGCACATCCTTGCATTTTGTTTTTATTTCCATTTTGCACAGCGTCCCTACTTTTTTAGAAATGGGGTTGTAAAAATATTAATTTAAAAATAAAAAAACTTAGTCAGCCTGAGCAGAAACTACAGATGTAAGAAAAGAGTCAAACGCTTGTGCATAAAATTATACAAGACTTTACTAGAAGAAATGTGCTTCAAATTCATAATCAGAATATATGCTATGGTCAAAGCCAGAGAAAAGCAATAACATAAGGGACATCCAGAGAATAGTGAAGACAAAAAACGAGTCAAAAAAGGGCTCAGGCAAAAACAAAGCTGAAAATACAAGCAAATGGGTCAAAATACATGGGAGGCAATACTGGAGAAAAGGCTCGGCACGCTGTGAAAACAGTGGCAATACTTCACAAAAATTGGTTCAAACAAACTTGATGGGATTTGTGGAATGACAAACAGGTGTTGTGGATTAGTATTCAGGTGAAGCTGATCTTTGAAACAGTTTGTGATTGGTGGACAATGTCACATGATGTCCAGGTGGATTTTGGGAGCTAGTAATCCATATGATTACACTGGCTATGCTAATAAGTAGAACCAGGATTTTTTTTGTAAGCAGATGACAAACGTGCCATCATTGATGTAATCTGTTCACTAGAGCCTTTGAAGTCTGCAGCAATTTTGCTCTTGAAAACTAAATGTGCTGCATTTTAGCAAAGTGGTCACACTTCTATAGGATAAGTTATTTGTTTCGCAGTAATGAAGTCCAATCTTTGCACAGCCGTGCTCTCAGGCAGCAGAGCTTTGATGAAGTGCATTGTGTCTCATGACACATTTAGATAGTGTTTTAGTTTCTATACATCAAGCCCTGCACTATGTGAGTTTTTTGCAAAAGTGCCAAAAGGCAATAGTCAGGTATCATTGCGGGGTTGCGGTGGCCCTTGCAGCTATAAACACACTTGCAGACACTGAAACGTAACCAATGAAGAAACCTACTGACTCTAAGTGGCAGCAGTTGGAGTCACTCTCCTCACCTTCACTGTTCAGTTCTGAATTTTGGAAGGAATTAAAAATTGATCCATATTTAAACAGCTAACCAGAAATAATCCACTGCGACAATCTCGCCAGAGTAGTGGATATATTTTAGACTGACTGAAGACCAGCATTTTAGGATGTGAGTCCAATGTTCAGATTGAGAGTAGACTAAAACAGAAGTGATCCTGTATAAGCAGTCCAGTGCCTGATCTCAGTGAATATGTGTCTTCCATGGATACTTACTTGTGTATCACGTGGAAAGTGGAAAAAATTATGAACTCGTATCCCAATTACAAGTATACAGTTTTTACAAAGAGGAAATCAAAGTTTTCAGGGGGTACTATCGGGGGTGCTGAATGATTGACAAGCATAGCAACCCTGCTAGCACCCTGCCAGTGCAGTACTTACCAACAGTGACTGTGATGGTCAGTAAGATCAGGACACAGAAAGCAGAACTGCAGGACTGCATGACTGACCTACAGACACACACACACACCATCAGTACTGACCAGGAGAGGAGAGAGAGAAAGAGAGAACAGAACTGACCTACAGACACACACACACACCATCAGTACTGACCAGGAGAGGAGAGAGAGAAAGAGAGAACAGAACTGACCTACAGACACACACACACCATCAGTACTGACCAGGAGAGGAGAGAGAGGAGAGGAGAGGAATCCTTCAAACAACATTTTGTTGTAGTTTCACTGAACAGTAAGTAGTGAACAGTGTATTTTATGGACATTCACTTGTTTTGGATTCAGTGTAGGGGTTTTTGTATGATCTTTCTGTGCTCTCTCTTCTGATTCCTGTGGTCTGTTTTTTTGAGCTTCTGTCTGATGATTAGTCCGACTCTATTCTGATCAGCACTGTTATGATCTGAAAATGAATCCTTTGTCTGGTTATTATTGTGATATAGTCATGAACTCAGCAGCTGGGCTCTCCAAAAACTACCTAAAACTACCAGCACTGTGGAAATATCCCAACATGGCAGGTCAACACACTCAATCCATCATTTGGGTTGAAAAAAAAAAAACCACACAGTGTGGTATGTTTGTTTACGGGCAATGTGTATTGTACCTCAGCCTGACTGAGATACAGAGAGAGAGAGAGAGAGAGAGAGAGAGAGAGAGAGAGCAAGGGTGAGGAGGGGTAAGAATTACATGTTAACTAGACAGCCTTGCAAACAACTGCTGAATCATTATTACAGATCAAAACTATTATAATGCAGACGTGGACTGGTTCAGTAACATGACTAAATGTGATGTTATCAGTTAGGTTAACAAGTTTTAATCACATGTCACAGAAACCATTATGTCACTCTCACCACGAGGTCCATAAAGGGAACTAACATCACTCAAACACACCATATACATCACAAGACACAATATCCAAAGAATTACATTCATAAGTGTAAGATACACATGTTTAAGAAAAATATTCTGTATTAAAATTTATACATTTGACTACCAGAGAGAATTTCTAATTATTCATATCCACGTTCACAAACTTATATTTTTACACTACTTACATGATATAAGAATATAGAACTGAGTGAAAACACATCAAAAGGTCGGTTAATTTAACTGCAGAGGTTTAGAATCTTAAATTCAGAACAAAAAAAACTATGATTGGTAAAATGGAAACATCCAGATTGAAGCAGATTTGAGAATACCTTAACTTTAAGAATACTTTTTAAAACATGAAGAAATCGGACAGCCTGAAGAACTGTAGGTTTCTGTTTCTGGTTTTCTGCATATCAAAGATAGAAAAGGCTACAAAGTAGCTTTATACTCTCAAACTTGAGATCTATTGTTTTATAATAACAAATAATCCATAACAGTTAATAAATGCTTTATAAACCTGATTTGTGTTTTGTTTATAATGTAAAATAACACAAATCAGCTGGTTAACCTGCTGACTAACATCCTGCCTCCTTGTGTTTGTTCACATGTTTTTCACCTCATGACCCCATGTGCTTCAGTTTATTTTGGTTTCCTTGCTCCTCTCTTGCTCTGCCCCTTTGTCTTCCTCCTCTAGCCCCACCCCCTCATCAGCCCCAAGTGTTTCTTGTTTGTTCTCTGTACATTTATACCCCCTGACTCTTAAGGGAAAAAGCTTTGTAACAGGCTTTCCTAATTTTAGATAAGTGAGCAAAAGAAGCAAGCACTTTAGAGGGACTTCTAAAATGATTTCAAGGGTGGTTTTCCCAGACTACAGCTCTACAGGCCTATCATTCCTGTGCAAAGCATGTGCACCTGCCACAGAGCAGGAAGTGAAGGTGGCTCCCCTTGGTAGAGGGAGATTCTTCTACTGCACTGGTCAGGCTTCCAGAAAGCACCAGTAGGCCAACACCTGCCCTTACTGTGCCAACCAGTACCTCTCAGAATACAGCAGGCCTGCTGCAATGTCCTTGGTGGTCACTGCAGTAGGCCTGCCAGGATGAGGATGTCACAGCAGGTCTGCCTCTCTGTGTGAATGTTGGGCCGGCCCAGATTCTGCCTAGTGCTCCCGGCAGCTCCTGCAAGCCAACGCCTGCTCTCACTTCACTGCCTGGTGTTCTGGAGAGCACCTGTGAGCTGCAGGCCAGCCTGCTTGAGGACATTGATGGAGGGCCATCAGGGGACAGGGACCTGTCAGTCCCTGTCACTGACACAGTGTCCTTAAGCACAGACTTAGTGCCCCCTACGACTTTAACACTGGCCCAGCACCCTCCGACTCCAATGCTAACCTGGGCTCCATCCCTGGCCCTCCACTGATCTGAGCTCTGTCTCTTGCTCTTGACCTGCTTCCTGCTCCACTGCTCATGGCCTTAGAGTCTCCTGACCTACCTGTGGCCTCCAAGTTTCCTGACCTACCGGCTGCTCAATGCCCTGCTCAGTCAGCCTCCATCACTGAGTTGGTGCCCCAAACAGCTTCTGTGCTGGTTCCCCGAACTGCTCCTGAGCCAGCCTTCAAGTTCCCTGACCTGCCAGCCTTTGAGATCCCTGATTTGCTGGACTTCGGAGAGCACTAGTGAACCAGCAGCCTAGGATGTGGCCACCCAGTACCCTGCCAATACTTTGCTCCATTTCCTGTCTGTTTTCCTCCTTTGTTTATCCTTAGCCTATTCTTAGCCCACCCCTGTTTAAGTCCTGTCTTTGTCTCAGCCACTGTCAACCTCTCAGTTTCAGGCCTTATGTCTGTCCAGGCTGTAGTCCCTTTCACTGTTTTTATGATCCCCATGTCTCATTTCCTGTCTTTCATCCAGCCTCTATTCCATTGCTACATACAGTTTAAAACCATATGTAAATGAGTATGGGTATAATTTAGAATGGGCAACTAAAAAGTTTTAGAAACCATTAAAGTTCAAGTAATTTAAATCAGAGGTTTATGTGGGGTTTAATATTAAAGAACCCTAAAATATTAGTTACTATTGCCTCTGTAAGTGTGACTGTAATGTTTACTCTTGTATTTGTATGTTTGGCCTACTGTGAGAAGCTCGTAAATTCTTTCTGCACACACCCATTTCAGAACCTCCACTTAATCAATTAAAACCCCAATTTAACCACCTGCACCCTCTCCTAATAACCCCACAGAGAGCCTGTGAGACAGCCTGTACTGTTTACACAGTGTGGATGATAAAACTCTAGGCTGAACAGTGGAAAGATCTTTAAAAAAAAATCACATGGATGATGGAGCTGTGGGGGACATTGATTCACTCCCTGAAATTTAAATTTTATACAAAATGATGAGCATATTAAAATGTTCTCTTTTCTCTTTCTTATATTTTCTTAATTTCCAGGTCCATCTTTCTAATTTTCTTTAAATTATTTAAGTTCTGTGAGTTGAGAATAGCATACCCTAGATAGAGTTTTAGTCGCCTCACTTCACCTCACATACTGTAAGTATTACTTGTGTTAAGTACTTTTTAAGCTGATAAATTGCTGTATCTGCACTCGACTCTCTAGGCTGCTGAAATATGATGTGCATGTATGTGAGCTTCATTTTTTGAATCACAGCTTGAACTGGCGAGAACAGATCTCAGTGTGGATTTTGTTGGTGGATTTTGTTGGTGGAGCCCCTTGAGCCTGGAGTCTATTGTTTGGCTAAAGTAAGCTGAGCTAATTCAAATAAGCACAGCTTTTATAAGCTTGATTCGTGGATTCTTCTCTGGTACTTTTCTGGTTTTGCAATCTTTTGTTTCTGTTTTGTCCTCACTGCCTTCACCATGGACAACAATAAAGCTCACACCTTCATCCTGCCTCCTCATCTCCTCCATCTTGTAACTTGTCCAATTTATTAA